TAGATAGATAGATAGATAGATAGATAGATAGTTAGAGAGAGAGAGAGATAGAGATAGAGAGAGTTTTCTCTTAAAGAGTATCACCATTACTGTAAACTCTCTGGTATCACTGTGTATGTGGGTCCTGAGGCTTGGCCTGTATTGCCTGGCTGTTTGTTCGGGTCATGTTTATCTAGCGGCCTTCGCAAAGGCCTGAACTTTGACATACTTTTGCAAGTTTGGTGGTTAGGGATGACACAAAAGAGGAATGAGATTGGTTTGAAATTATAGTGAAATGGCGTAGGAGAAGAGGGGTTGGGTCACAGGGACTTTTTTTTTTGGGGGGGGGAGGCGGTGGTGGGGATGTTGGGTTGGCGTATCGGAGAGTGAAATAAGGATCCGATCGCGTGTTTCCCCTGAGAATTAGAAATTGACATAACAGTCTAACAAATATACACACTAGATCTAGTCACGAGTGAACATTATGTTGAGTAGCAGAATGGCAGTTTGGTGAACGTGCAGATATAAATTTGTTCACAGTACATGCATGGAGAATATGGATGGACAGACGAATGGAGATGGGGACGAGGGGAGGAGGACATATACAACCTTCATAGCATACAGTTACAATTGGTTTGTTGTACAGCCTCAAGTTTCAACATGGTGGTTTTGGGGTGTGGCTGTTGTTCTTGAGATCAAGAAGTTATTGGTTTGATTCCTGGTGAAACAGGGCTTTGTTTTGTATTTTGCATATATCTTTGGAGTACACACTTTAACAGTCTAGCACGCACATAGTGGAACATGCTCTTACAGCAAAAATGACTCAAAAGGGACAGTTTTCTTCTTTCGCTTTTTTCCTATGTATCTGTATATATATGTATATATATAAATTTGTATGTAGCTAAATTCATTTTTAAAGTGAAAGTATGGCGCTCATATGACCTTATGCAGTTGCGAGCGCCATAAAACCCTCTATTATAAAAAAAATAATAAAAGTGAAATTATAACATCACGAAAAGATTTCTGCCTCCTGCCGGTTTGGCTAGGGGCATGCTTGAGTGTGCTAGAGACGGTTTGGATTGCCTTTGACCCATACTAGATTCAAATTCAAGTACAAGAACCCGTCACATGCTTAAATATTCATTTTCAAATCTTGACAGTCTGAATGAGAACTTTAAAATACATTCAAACAGAAAGACATTAATTGATTTTGTATTGTTTAAGCAAAGATCCAGGAAATATTCTTTTCGACTGTCTATCTCTCCGCAATCAGCTGTACAGTGTAAGGGACAGATAGGAGTTTTTTAAAATACATTGTCGGCCTGCAGTGTGTTTCAGGGTACAGGTTGATAAGGGAAAATGGACCAAAGTTGTTTGTTCTAATGATAAAGCTTTCGCTAGCAGCAATGAAATAGCTGGTCTCAGCCAGGACTGGCTGAGTGCTGCACTGAATGTCTTAATTTTGCTGATTCAGCATTTTTTTCATTCTTCATTTTCCTTAGTGATTTTTTTCCCTTTATTGTGGCTGTCTTGTGGCTCTATGTGAGTGAGTGGTTTAAGGGCGCCACTGTTAGGTCTTAATTCTTTACTTTCCCCTCTGTTGTTTCTCTATCTCTGCCTTACTTTTTCCCAGCAGTAAATGAGCGTTATTGTGTCGATCTGCGTCTCTTTGTCTCTTTACTCAAACAAACAGGACTCTGATATGTGCTCTTATGTGAAAAGTAAATAAACGTCTCAAAGATAAAAGTAAAAAAAAAATGTTTAAATGAATGGTTGGCGGGGGCTCTGGTGTGGTTTGCTTCTTCTTTCCTATCAAACATCTATCGTCCTTATCTCCCCTACTTCTTTTTTATGTTTGTTACTCTCTTGTAACACCTTTAATTTTCAGGCGCTCATATGGCCTTATGCAGTTGCGAGCGCTGTAAAACTTTTACTAAAACAAAAAAGTAAAAAAATTGCAATATAGAGAGTATGTGACCGTCACAGCCACCCTCCCAATCTCTGCTGTTTCTGCTGCAGCATGATGTGCAGGCTACGGGCAACATACCACATATGAGTGGATGGTTGGCGGGTGCTCTGGTGTGGCTTGCCCCTTCTTTCGTATTAAACATCTATTGTCT